TGTAATTTCGTTGAATAAAATATTCCCTCGAATGTTCTATACTACTGATTGTCCATTAGTAGTGTGATACAGATGAGCAGAAAGTTTTCTAATTATAGTAATGAAATTATAGTAATGATGATGGAGTTCTGTACTTGTTGTCAAGACCATTCAATGACCTGTTGTATGGTATTAGCTAACCCAAGTATTAAAGTTGAAAGTCTCTTCATTTATTTACGGTTCATCAGAACTATTCAATTGAAACTGTTATCAACTGGTTTTACTCAAGATCCATTTGTGACATAAAGTCTATGAACATTCTTCATGCTCCACAAAACCATCCAACGATGATTTAGAATTCTATGAGCAGAAATAGAGTGTAGTCGATGAATATCCATGTTGTTTAAGTGTTTTGCTACCGATTATCATGATTGTCAAATTGATCTGATATGTAACATCAAACTGAATCTAGTGAAAGTAATCAATTGAACAAACAGATGCAAACCAAGTGAATGAGGCCTCATTGTTCTCTGTTGTTTAGATTGATTTGAAATGAGTGTTCCTCTCAAAGAAGATTCTCCTATCAAGTAAACTAGTATGCTAGGTGTTATGACGAGGCTTAACATAACAAAAAAGGAACACACAGATATTTTCTGCCTTTTATTATCGTTTCATTTCATTTGTTATTTCCTTAAGAAATGATTCAAGAGAGTAAAATTGCTGCAATCACCTCTCATATTTAGTCACTAGTAAGTGTATGATGGTTGTCATAGGAAGGTGTATTGGAAAGTGTTGAATTTCCACTTGGAAATTCACCTTATCAATGTGAAACAGATGTCTTACACTTTCTAGTCTTCACTGATCGCTCCACTTCACTCAGCCAACGACTAGACACTCGTCTGTTCTTCCCGTGTCAAATACTGATGAGAACTGTTTTCATGAGTAATCGATGGTTAGAGTATTCAGTAACAGTGTGAATGGATTCACCACACACACATGTTGAACCTCACAACTAGTCACTATTCAACTATGTATGACATTTTTGCATGGTAGTTTACATGTACTCCAAATTGTATAACACTTTTGAATTGATTAACTGTTTCTATATATTTCTTATCTTTCATTGAATCAAGTTAATCAGCTATAAATTTACATTGAATGTTGTATAGAGAGTACCCTTGTTACGAAGTAGATTATTAAGAGTATCTTGCAGGCTTGAATATCACTAGGATAATCAAATAGAACGAAAGTACTTTGGGTCATTCATGTGATATTTTGTGATGTTTCGATCACAGTTTTAAAAGTTGGGTAAATTTGTTCAACCTGTGGATTATTTGACTGAATCCTACTGTAGAATAAGTCGACTGTTGTCATTACTACTTCCCAGAAAACCTAGTGTCTCCAAATTGAGCAATTACACACCCGGTCAGTACTAATGTGATTGAGCCGACAGATAAGTTCCCATTGGTTTGTCACTATCAAGCTCTTCTCTGTGTTCTGTCTTGAGTCTGAAAGTAGCAAACAGTCTGTATTATATTTGAATTTCAAACAGATGTAGTTTATGTACAGGGAGATCAGTCCCTATTACATCATGATATGAAAACTAATAATTACGCATGAACAGGCCAATATGCGCTATGAATAGGGGAGCCTGTAAGTAGTAAACCTTATGAATGTATTGTGTTTCAGGGCTTCACATCACCTGAAAACAGCTTGAACTTACAATGAATTGTACGATTATAAACACAGTTTTATGTTGTTTCATTATTGAAGCTGAGTTTGGAACGATAGAGAAGAAAGATAGTGAGGTTGAATCGGATATGATATATTTCAACACAATAGTTAAGATGGATAAGTGCTATGTGGTGGAATGGGAGCGAGATGAAGAAGGAGATGATGTTAAAAAGTGACGGCAGATTGATGACAGACTCATTGATGAGTGTTTATCAATTTAACTATTACTGTGGAGCCAGTTACTTTGGTCATACTCAAAGGACCTCATCGTCACGCGCTTGTGAACATGTACCCTGATGATCAGGAAAATGCTTTGGTGGATCTATCAACAGTGTTATTCCATACGGCTAGATAGACTATGGACATAACACTAAAGTTGAAGATGCTTTTCTTTTTATCTAATCACTTTCCTAGTCATGTATCACTCAATTTATTTAGCTGAAGTATATGGTGTTAATTTAAGCAATCCTAATTTAAGTAAACTCTTCCTGTAGCGCCTCAAGGGCTAATGCCGGACAAATTCATAGTAATGGAGGAGGAGGAGGAGGGTTGAAAATGTGGTGAAAAAGCTCATCCCATAGAAAACAATCCTCCCAAAATTATGCAAACCAGAATAAACAATTTAAATCATTAGAACTCTGTCGTTCGAGTTGAACGATCTTCAGTCAGAAGAATTGTGGTACTCACGGGATTCGAACTCAGGGCTTTCGGTCTCGCACGCGAACGCTTAACGAATCCCGCGAGAGGGATTGTGGGTGCACAGCGCTGAGGAGTCGCACAATAGGACGAAACGGCCGTCCAGTGCTCACAGGTTTTCAATGGTGGTCTAACACTATTCGGTTCATGATCTCAATCAATAAACTATCATTTGACATTGATGTAATATGACACAGTTTAAATATTACATAACATTCTTTACTGTTGAATAGTTTCTTAGTCGGTATCGATTGAAGTTTTGATGAAATCTGTCATAAATTTATTGAATTGAATGTAGTTTACATAAATTACTCTTCATGATGATCAATAATGAATAATCATTCATTCTGTAATTGTTATGTAACTAAAGAACAGATTAGGGAGAGATGTTGTTGTACTGTGATTACGAAGAGGAGAATGCTCTACACACTCAGTGGGTTGCTCTGATGCTGTCCAAAGAAGCAGGAAAAGCACTGACTAGGTGAGAACCTCATTCATTTCGGTTCATCAAAGCATCCTTCAAAAGAAAGAAGAAGGGAATAATAATGAATGTCTAACTGTGAATTCATTCAATCATCACTCCCCAATAGAATCTGCCTACATCAGTGGAATATGAACGATACGCAACAGTAATTGTATACTCATCTCATTTTTTCACATCAAATCGGTTACATGTCCAAGTCATTGATTCGTACTCATAGGCCAACGCATCCGTCTGTAAGTGTTCACATTCATACATTCATTGTGTATATTCCTACAGATTTCATTTGCAAACTAGTCAATCAGCACATGCAACTCTTTCAGTGGACAATAACACTACACAGTTATTAGAATAAATTTATTATTTTTATTTATCTGAACACATAAATATTGGTACAAGAGGGCACCAAATATATATGCGCCACACAAAATTTTATTTGTGTGTGGGCTGTGATACTGCCTGGTTTTCTTAGGGGGCCACACCCCGAGCCTCCGACCTGAACGTCTGACCCACAAGTCAGTGGAGCATTGTGAGGAGATGCAGTGTTATGGTAGCCGGTGACCAACAATTGGTTCATACACCATTTGTTCTCACAGGATACTGGAGCTAGCCCATGTGCATCATTGGTTTGGGATCCGGTTAAAGCGCCGGATATTCGCTTTTCGTTTTCTCATTTTCGTAAACAACACCCGCGCCACGAGAAAGCAGTGAGTAGGACTTCTCTGACAGAGGCTGTGTACGCGTGGCCGTGCGAGAGCATTTCGAAAGGGATGGCGGGCCCGCCTCACTTTCGGCCATACCAGGGCATTTGGGGCTTCTCGGCTCTCTGAGCTAAGATCATGTGTAGTATCTATCCTTTACAGTATAATTTCTGCAACAGTCTCTAAACTGAGACCAATGAAATTACCTGTATTTTTCACCTTCGGACGGGTGCTTTGAGCTTGCTGAACCCCGTCTACGGGTCGGCCTCGTATTGCATTAGAATAAATAGTGATTAAACATCAGAAATTGTTCTGTTCATCGATTCAGATGGTTTCTCTTAGTTTGTTCGTCGAACAAAATAGATTTCAAAAAAGGTTTATCATCGACATAGTTTGCTGTGTTCGGTTCGGCGTCACTGTAATAGCTCAATATCTGACTCCTTCAATTACATCATATGAATGATTGTTATTGAAATACACATATCAGTTATCCTCGTCTGTCTGTCTGTCTATCTGTATGTATGTATGTATGTATAAACATCGACTTCATCGGAACAGGCAATCTAGGAGATGGATGATACAAAAGAATAACGAAAGGCGAGAACAAAGCAGATTAAAGAAGGCCTTTTTGATGAAGTTTTGTTCTCTGAGCTGGATGGTTTGGTCGTGGAGCTTTCATCGTTCTTCTGAACGACATCATCAGCACAAACTTCAGATAAAAGTGAAGTGTTCGAATTTCTCCATATGCGTTTCACAAGCTGTGAAGAACGATGAAAGCTCCATGACCAAACCATCCAGCTCAGAGAACAAAACTCCATCAAATCATCCACCTGAGCTACAAATCTTCTCCACCATCTTAAAGAAGGCCTATAAAGTCAACTCAATTCAATCAAAAAGGTTAATCAATATTTGTAGTCATGTATTAAGAGTAAAGGATAAAATATGACAACGTAAGTACTCATCACGCAAATACACACGCACCTACTCAAGGTCATTTAAATCATCATCATCATAATAATAACCAATCAGAATAGATAACCCAATAACTGACAAGGTCAAACAAACTGTAGCTTCTTGCAAAGAATAAATAGACTGACATGTCCGAAAACTAGAACACAAACGATATTAAAGTATAATGGTAATATGACATATGAGGTTACCCTATTCATTACCATAGTAACAATGATATTACTGAATAACTGTGATAAATACATTGTTGCTAACACGCACATATACACACACATGCACACACACACACAGAATTCTTGTTGTCAAGTCAGTACTACTGTTATGATAATAAAAGAACTCTATTAATGTTTACAAATCATAGTGATCTTCTTATTATCTATACTTTTATTGAATGAATATACATTTCGAATGATAAACAACATAATAGTATGATTGGAATTATTAGTTATTAGATCACAACATTGTGGATAATTAGAAATTGAAGAAAGTGGAATACGTTAAAATTGGTGACGATTCAAGTAATGTCCTGTATATATATATATATTCTTGTTGAATGTATTCTTGAATGATATTGTTAATATTGTTAATATAATAATAATAATAATAATGATTGAATGTAAATAACTTGAACATAAATTTGTGGAAAGTTCAACAGTTGAAATCATGAAGGAATTGAAGTTAGAGTACTGTGAAACACCTGGAAGAAGTGAACGGTCGTTTCGTTCTATTGTGGGACTTTTCAGTGACAGTATGTATCTACGATCCCATCTCATGAGATTCGAATCCAGGACTTATTTATGGAATTGATATATTCTTGGTTCATTACAGGATCATTATAAGGTTACATGTAGTTTGAAAGATTTTCTAGATTACTTATTAATATACTTTTGTGGTTGGACTCATTGTATTAGAGAATGGTTGTAAATCAATTGATGAGGTTGTGAATCTTCATCGACTGAGATGGTTGGGCCAGGTGTTAGGTATATTTGAACTCCGATTAACACGACGTACAATGCTGAATAGTGGCATCAGTGCTCGAAGTCACGAACTTGTAGTTTGAGTCATGTTGGTAGATGCAAACTACTTGGTTGGGGTCGGCGCGATTATGGTAGACAATGGTTGGAAACTGTGTGTGACATGGCTCAGAATCGATCACAATGACGTACGTAGGTGTATACACTCTCTGTCTTCACTTAAACTGTGAAATTAAAAATGCTTCATACCTTTATTTGTACGAACAAATTCTTTCTTCCTGTACTATATACTCATACGCAATCTTTCTTTTATACATTACTACCATTGAAGTAACTACTTCTATGAATCCGGTGTTCATCTTGCTGTGCTAATGAGGTATGTCAACTTGAACCGATGAATATATGTGTCTGATCCTGCGTTGTAGCTGACTGACTCTCTAGTACGTTTGTGTCTACGTATGGAAACAGATTGAGGGCCAATTATGCAATATGAAGGTGAATGAAGGTGATGTACTGCAATAAGGATGAAATGCGTAGTTATTTACAAACTCATTAACATTAACCACAAATTCAATATCGGCTACAATCGATCAGTCAGTCAGTCAGGGTAGTATTTGTACGAACTCATGATTCCTTATGTACTTGATTGTCAGCCGATTATAGATTCCACGCACACATTACGTTCATTTGTTTTCAACTAGCTCTACCTGTTCTAAATAGCATCATTTACGAAAATTCTTGTTTATCATATGAATTGGAATACTTCTAATGATCATATTGGTGTCTCGATGGAGTGAAATTTTGGACAGCTGGATATAAATTCAATTGTGGAAGACTTCGATGACTATATGGAACGGTTTAAAATCCGGTGCATGATTAGAAAAGATATTGTAGATGATAAACTCATAGCTTATTTTCTGACGTTCATTATCAGAGAAGATTATAACCTGCTAGAGAATGTGACTTTTCTAGAGAGACCAACTTCATTGTCATATGAATCTCTCAATGAGTTACTACATAATCGTGTACAATATGTTAGCCATGAATGCTGAGAGAGATCGAAGTTTCATAAAATGATACGACAGAATGTTAAGGACTTTATACTTGAAGTAGAGAAACAGGCGGAGACGTGCAGTATTGAGGATCTATTGGAAAATAACTTCGTGATCGGTTGATTTTTGGGGTAACTATTCCGAAGCTCAAAAGTTCATCTCAAGCAATTAGAACAGTATGTACAAAATATGAGGCAAAGGGCGAGGTTGATTTTCAGTGAGTAGAATCTTCTAATACTTAGCTTAGTTGTTGTGATGAACTACATTCTCAATGTCGTTCAAGTTCGTGTTCGTTGAATGATGGTTCATCTTCTCATGGAAATATAAAAAGCGATTCAACATAGAATTGCAAAGCAGATCACAGAGTGGAGTGTAGGTTTGTTAAATGTTCATCCTGTAGCGAATTTCACTTACGTAATTTCTGTGTCTTTCCTTATGCCAAATGTGTAAGATATAGACCTCCAATCAACTGGGGATTAGGATGGAAAATAGCTAAGCAAAGTGGAAGAAAAATGGTACACCTAATGATAACGGCTGAACACTACAGGATCCGCAAATACCAACTCGTCATAGAGCAACAAAAGATGAAGCTACAAAGGACATTCACGTCAGAACATTTAGAAATCTTGACAACAACCATCGAGATATCATACAAACGACACAGAGAACAAAGAGAAAACACCCTAAAGAAAAAACTAATCAAGATCTCGAAACCACCCGAGGAAGAAAACACAAACAACTGCGTGATCAATCTGTCAAAACAACCACTAACAAACACGGAAGAACATCTACTCCGAAAAGGATTAAACTACAACACAAGCGACGCCTCAAAACTTTTGTAATCAGTGAGGAAACACACCAAGAACTAAGATAAACTATAGTACTGCTAACGCAACGGGTGAAGGGTAACAACCAACTGACACGACTAAACCATCCAGCTCAGAGAACAAAACTCCAGCGAAATCATGCCAAATGTTTGAGTTGTGGTGAAATGGGATATATCATCAAGTCGGTCTGTAAAGCTACTGTTCATTTTGCTACTAGTGATGATAAACCCTGTAGTTTGGATTTTATTAAGTTGAGTGTTTTTTTTAATGATGATTTATCATTATCCACGATTTCGAAAGGTAATTTCCATAGTGAGATGCGATTACATACCTCCCTTGATTCATTCAATGACATTTTGGAAGACAGGGGGCGCCGGCAGAGTGTTAAGATACAAGCACTTCTATCTACAATGCAACATGCTACTAATTTAACTGCGAATGTCTCGTGTAACTACTTCGCTGACGAGTTAATGTTAATGAAAAAGAAACAAGTTATGAGTATTGAATCGGGTTTTCTCTTGTTGTTTACTTATTTCAGGTAGGGTTTCAATTTGATCTTTGACTATTAAAGAAGAAAAGTACAGAAATTTGTGAAGGCTGAAATACAAGATCATGCGGTAAAATATTTTCATAGATTATTCATTCATTTATGCAGACATTCAAGACATGAATTCAATTTCTCCATTGTTATATGGTTACCTCTATTGCCAGTTTTGATGCTTTGTATAGGAGATTACTTCAGAAAGAAAACATTCTCGAAAATAGATTTGTGCTGGGACGGCCTGACCGATAACGTATCAGGAGCTAGAGAAGGAGTGATTTGGATCTCAGATGAGATTTCTCATCTTCGTAGATTATTTGATCTCAGGTAAATGAATATATCACTTTTTTATATGATCGTATACAATTCTGAATTGTTTCTTAAGAACAACTAATATTTTGAATACCGTTTGAAAAAGTCATTCACGATGGAGTGAATGAAGAAATGGTCTTTTTTTTGATGGAGTTTTGTTCTCTGAGCTGGATGGTTTAATCGTGGAGCTGTCGTCATTCTTCTGAACGACATCATCAACACAGCAATCAACAAACATATTCAAATCGATCCAATTTATCAATCAATCAGGAAACTTATGTACAAACATAGGAACAAGAATCAAACCAATAGGAGACAAAACCAAGACAAAAAAGTAAACAATGACAAATTTAAGGTCAATAAGAACCAATCAACATCAAGGTGTACAAAACAAGCTGTGAAACGCATATGGAGAAATTTGAACACTTCACTTCTATCTTAAGTTTTTACTGATGATATCGTTCAGAAGAACGATGAAAGCTCCACGATCAAACCATCCAGCTCAGAGAACAAAACTCCATCAAAATCATCTACCTGAGCTACAAATTTTCTCCACCATCTCAGAAATGATCTTTGTTATGAAATGGATAAAGTGGTTGCTCTAAAACAAGTTCACTTTTAGATATTTAGTCTTCCATTAGGTAGTTTGTTTTTGGACAGAGTAACTAATTAAGTATTTACTTACCCCTTTACTCTTTATAATCCATCATTTGAGATTTGTTAGTGAATCATCCAAGCTTATGTCAACAATGTATCATTATGGTAGTTGTACGCTTAGTTAACTATTCTATTTGGGATATTCGGTAACAGTATGTTTACTAGGAATATTTTTGAACTTCTTGTAGATGTTTAAAAGTGTCAATGCCCCAAACTGTCACATATAAGTAGCATATAACGCGAGTTAAAAATGTAATTTCTGGCAGCAAAAGATAAGAGAAGATGAAAAGAAGAAGAGTGGAAAGACAATGGAATTGTAGTGTTTAATTTACATTCCTGTCTTCCCACCCATGTTCTTGTTCACCACAGTATATCTATTCTATATCACCAAGACAATTGATCATTCATAAATCTTTATTCATGATTAATCATCATTTCCAATGCAACTATTTGAGTCTGTTTGATTGTTTAAAGAAGGATACTATCGTTTGGTTGATAATAAGAACAAACTATTGAACAATGAATTCATAGTATGAATAGATAATAAGAATGAGTACAATTTCATATTTTGTTGTTATGGGGTTTATTTCATTTCTTATTTATATATTGTTAATTAATTATCCGTACTATTCTATTGATTGAGGTAGTTCAAGAAATAATTATACTTGAACAGAACAATTCACATCACCATAACAACATGTATACAAAATCCAGATATTATATAAGATAATACCAATGAAGTTTTCACTTATCTATTTTAGTGAAATTATCTCAATGAAAAGAAACAAGAAAGATCAAATAACAAGTAGGTTTCATTATTCATTGTTCAATAATAATCGTGATAAGAATGATAGTAGATCATAGAAACACTGAAAGTAGTAACTACAATGATATTCGACATTTTGTTCAACATGATTTAGGATGAAGAGCAAGTACCAACAGACTAGAAAGTAGGACACCGAATGAAGATACTAAAGAAAGTAGACCTCAGTAAGTGTGAGAATTACAGAGACATCACAGAATGAAGAATTCCGTGGACGCCCAAATTTGAGGTCAACAGGCTGGATTCCATAAGGATCGATCGTGAAGTAGCTAAATCGCTGCAATACGGATGATTGTGGAACAATCAATTGAATGAAATTCATCACTCTACATCAACTTCATTGAGTACGAGGAAGCATTTGATAGCGTGGATTGGACAACACTATGAGGCTTCTTCGATACTACTGCGTGCCTGAGAAGATTGAAGTGCGAAATCGTGTATGGAGGACAGCTGACAGACTCGTTGGAAGTGATGATGGGTGTCAGTCAAGGTTGCGTACTCTCACGCTTTCTTTTACTCCTTGTGATCGACTAAATCATGAAGACGTCAACATCTGTGAAAAACTGAATAAAGTGGATATCTGGGATGCAGATGAACAATCTAGACTCCTCAGATGATCTGGCTTTTCTATCGCACACGCATCAACAAATTCAGGAGAAAACGACTAGTGTTGGCAGCGTCAGCAACAGTAGGTCTCAACATACACAAAGGGAGAAGCAAGATTCTCCAATACAACACAGCATGCACTAATCAAATCACAATTCATGGAGATACTTTGGGGGATGTAAAAAGCTTCACATTTCTGGGTAGCATCATTGATGAACACAGTAGATCTGATGTAGATCTCTACGCAAAATACTTCGGATCCGTTCATCAGACACTGCACTATCAGCAACAACCTACTGTGAGAGAGAACAAACCAGATGATAGTGGAGGAAGAAATCAGGAAGAATCGCTGGAAGTGGATAGGACACATATTGAGGGGAGCACCCAACTGTGTCACAAGTCAAGGCCTCACATGAAATCTCCAAGGCCAAAGGAGGAGAAAAAGACCAAAGAACACATTACACCGAGACATGGAGACAGACGAACATGAGAAGAATGAACAGTGATTGGATAGAAGTGGAAAGGAAGGTTGAGGACAGAGTTGGTTGGAGAATGATGGTCAGCGTCCTATGCTCTTGCATCGGGAGTAAGAGGCGTAAGTTAGCAAGTAAGTAAGTGTACAGTAAAATATTGAACTTTCATCATTCAATATCTTTACAAGTTCCTCTTACTCTTCTTATAACACGAAATATATCTGTACACGTATATCAGTGCAATCATCCCTCTGTGTGTTGATCTCTTGTAACTGAGCACCTTCATCTGACATGGCGGCATATGTATTTTGCCATGTGAAAAATACTAATGAATTTACATACTTGGATCAGATGGACGACGAAATGACATGAAAGAATAGGAAAACATCTTACAATAATTGAAGGTAATTAAAGGTTATAGTGATGTAAATAATGGGAATATGAGACATAAGTAATGAGAGAAATGCAGTAATAATAATAATTAAGGCCACATTAATGATAACGATAAGACGTACTTGTTTTGTACGCATAGTTCTGGTTTGAGTTCATAGATGGTAAGAGCTTCGGCTACTTTTCGGGGTTGGATCTGAAGAAATCTAAGTAGATTTGCACGAATCGTATATACAACCGAAAATCAAACCATTGCTTGTTTTGAACTCGGATACGAGAACATGTCGCGGTGTGGAAAGCAGTTAAGAGTTCCATACTTGAGTATCTAATCGACTGTAATCATTCTACTGATGCATAGTTTGATTTTAAGGTTGTATATAAGATTCGTGCAAATCTACCTAGATTTCTTCAGATCCAACCCCGAAAAGTAGCCGAAGCTCTTACCATCTATGAACTCAAACCAGAACTATGCGTACAAACGAAGTACGTCTTTTCTTTATCGTTACCTTGATCTTTGTTATTATTATTACTGCATTTTTCCCATTACTAATGTCTCATATTCTCATTATTTACACCACTATAACCTTTAATACCCTTTCATTATTGTAACAAAAAGCATTTTAATCATCATATGATATTCACGTTATCATTCGTTAATAACTTATTAAGATCACGGTTACTATTCGTATTACATAATCCAGTATTATAATCCTTCTATGACATCATGTTGGTTATTCCCTTGTTCACACTTCCTCATGAAACTAGTACTTTTTTACAAAAGTTTCATCAATGTTTACATTTAAATAAAAATGCAAGTGATTCTATGCCAAGAGTTTCACTGGAAACCAACTTGATTCAGCAAATGGTAAATATCAATTATGAATCTCTACACTACCCGATTTGGTCTTTATCTTTGAATGGATAGAAGTGAAAAGGAAGGTTGGAGACAGAAAGGATTGGAGAATGATGGTCGGCGGCCTATGCTCCTCCATTGTTATATAAATAAACTATAGGATAGAAACGGTAGTGTGAGACTATAATTTATAGACGATCTTTGAGTGATGCTAAAGTGGCATTGAGAGTGTCCACCTAATAACTGGTACCAAATGAGGGTTATCTGAGACCTGTTACCTCATACCTGAATGGTTCATCTATAAATTATAGTCTCGTCAAAATGGTCAGTTTGTATTGTATAATAATAATAATAATAATGATAATAATAAGCTGAAATATTTAACTTTTTATTCTAGATGTAAATCAGATCGGCGTTTCTCATGAAATCCTTAGACGTCGTGCTTTAAATTACGTACATGAAGTACAATACACATTGAACATTCTACGTAACATTTTTACTCAATTACAAAATGTTCATCCAAAGGAATTGGATAGGGAAACAGTTTCATCGATACAAACATCATTAATTCAGTATAGACAGAATATGGAGGAAATTATTTTACACTTGCAAATTATTCTAAACAAACTAGGTGAATTAGATGGATTTTTACAAATGAGAGTGAATGGTTTAAATAAACTTTCAAAGAGATTACAAGAGATGATTCGAAAACTACAGGTTAGAATTTATTACTTCTTTATCCCTTTGAAATGAGTCAAGTTCTTAAACTTGTCAAAGAAGTGGTTAATGGATTGAAATAATTTCTACAAAAGTATAGCATTAAATAAGACACGAATAGTATGATATCTATCTGTGACTGTGTGAGTGAACCGACAAGTAACCATTGTGTACTGTTTTGATGTTTGCTACTGATATCGACAGATATAAGTAGTATGTATGATGAATGGAAAGTGAAATGCCTAGTGGGGACAGAAGGCTGAGAAGATCGAAGGAAAGTGAACGAGAACAGAGAATGATTGATGTGGAGATGAAGGAACAATGAATGAAGTTTTAGACGATTGATTGACATTTTGTAAATGAATAATCTGCTGTATGGTTCTCAGATTTTATTGAGAGATTTTCATTTGTGTTCTCGTTGACTACACTGTCACCTATAAGACAATCTGTCGAATGCAAACTGAAATACAAATAGTTTAAATTTTTCAATTTCGTTGGATATTTTGTATCAGTAGGGTATGATATCAAGTGGTTGGTTGCATCATCGCCAGTATAGTTAGCAGGTTTCAATTCATATTCAATAGGTTATCAGATTAGAACTAACAAACACAGGTTCAGAATGTTTTGTATCTGATGCAAATTATTGACGAACATCACCATCCTTCAGATCATTATGGTGAGTAAGTAATACAGTTGTTAGGAAATGAGTACTAGGTAAGGATTGCGAATCAATTGATGAAGTAGTGAAACCTCATCAGTTGAGATAGCTGGAATATGTGTTACGTACGCTCAACCAATCACCGAATGCCCCGACAAGAGATGTTCTATGGTGTAGGAGTAGGTTGGAAGAAAGCTAGAGGCGGCCAGAGCAAAACATGGCACAAATCCATGAAGTCACTGACAAGTGGACTGAGCCATGTTGGTAGGTGTAAACTACCTGGTTGGGATCCGCCAGACGATAGTAACCGATAGTTAGAGACCTTGAATGACATGACTCAAAATCGTTTGCAATAGTGTGCGCAGATGCATCCAATCTTTGTGTTCGCCAAAAATCGAATTGATGTACTTACGTACAAAGTTCTACGCTGTTGACTGATTGACAGACTGACTGACTGTCTTCAGATCTTCATAATTATTGTATCTTTTAAATTGTTGCTCATAAATTTTTACAATGTGTTTGATTTGCATTTTACCTTGTGATCATATACAATATAGAATCCGTCAGATTGTAAAAAGGTCAAATATGTGACATTTGGTTTCACTAATTTATGTGGATTAGGTTGTTCAATGCATCAACTTATGTACTGCTTACAATTGGCTTTTGAAAATGAACGTGTTTTAATAATGAAGAAACATCATCCTGGAGACATATTTCGAGAATGGCTTCATCAGAACATGTTACCACTTTCTGATAAATGCAATTATTCGGATTCAGATGGTAGATCAGGTGTGTGTATAAACGTTATATTTATGAACGGTTTGTTGTAAATGTCAGACCTCATTGATTGTCTTGAACTATTTAGTAGAATATTTTCAATTCCTTTTCGACAAAGTACATGTGAGTGAATAGAGTATGGCTAGAACCCATGAAATAACATAACTCTGTTTACTATTTACGTGAAAGAACGGGTAAACAAACCTTATTATTATTGGTAATATTTCATGTTCCATTGCTCCTCCTCCTAATATGGATAGAATCTTACTCAATCGCTGTTTATAACTGAGTAAGATTTGGCCTCACTAATCAGCTATTATGTTTGGTTGATAGGCAGTCGATCAACAAACTACCACACCATTTTGTATAAGCATAATAAATATTTTCATTCTCTTGTTTACTTCAGATAACATGGAATGTCCTCCGATTCGAAAAGGTTTCACCAATTATAACTGGTTACCAAATGTTCTCCCAATAGATATGAATGAAGAATTATTTCGTTTACATGAGGCACCCTTTGTTTGGTTTGCTGGTCAACTAGCAGCCTATATTTTGCGTCCAAGGCCAAACTTAGCACAATTAATCAATGCAACATTGAAGAGCTTTAAAACGAGTGGTGATCCAGTAGTTGGCGTGCATATAAGGCGTACTGATAAGGTTAGTGTTTGTTCATACAGGTTGCTTATAGGCTGTACCTACTTCTGATAGTCGTACAAATCTGTTCGTGATCTCGCATATGTTCTTGATATAGATTAAAATTGCCAGTTTTGTGATTTTCGTTACTGCTATTGTAATCGACGGAATGTTTAGGAGATATTTCTTGATGATACTTTGTGTTTAATCATTTCTCCGAAATGCATACATTTTCAACGATTTTGAAATCCATTTATTTAAGATTTCAGTAGCCGTGTCTGCTTTAAAATCCATGTTAATAAACAGAGTTTACTTCTGTACTGTCGATGCTTTTTCCTAATGAAGTCTAAGTGTTAAGTTGCTATCGACGAATCTAGGTGGATAAGCATTTCTGATGAGTATCTGTCGAAGATGAAATAGTTCCTCATCTATTGTGTCAATGGGACTGATTCACTTGATCTGAGAGGATAAAGAGTGAATTAAGTTCATGTTTCTACTCAATGGGACCTAATTATGCATTTTCATTTCCTTGTGGTGCTTTAATGTGTTTATTCTTTTGAGTAGTGTTTGTATATAACACATTTTTTGCGTCAGTGCGTATTCGCTGATATAGGTGTGTAATCGACTAGTGTGATTTGTCTTTCCCTATACTTAGTTTCAAGTTTCTCTGTGTTGGTTCTATTGATCGTGTTTGCTTCTACTTGTAACATGAATTTCATGTCGACCAAGATGGAAGAGATCAATCTGTAAGCACTTTGCAATAAACTGTATTTGATTGTGACGAGTGTATAGTCAGTATAGCAAACCCTATTGCTTTTAGACAGTTAGAAGTTCTGCAAGAACAGATACCATCTTTTCTAAGAGGTGTCAGCGGAACACCACGATAAATTAATAAAAGTCTTGTAATGAAATGTATCTGACATTTACTTGACATTCAATATCTTTCTAACTGACACTTATTCATTTACTTACTTACGCCTGTTACTCCTAATGGAGGAGCATATGCCGCCAACTCGCATTCTCCGACCCACTCTGTCCTGTGCCTTCCTTTCTACTTCTATCCAATTGTTGTGTATTCTCCTTATATCTGTCTGTCTGTCTATATTTGTCGGCGTAATGTGTTCGTTAGTCTTTTTCCCCTCCTTTGGCCTTGAGGGTTCCATATGACGGCTTGTCTCGTGAAGCAGTTGGGTGCTTTCCTCAATATGTGTCCTATCCACTTCCAACGCTTCTTCCTGATTTCTTCCTCCACTGGAATTTGGTTTGCTGTCTCTCTCTCTCTCACGGTAGGCTGTTGCTGATAGTGTAGTGTCTGATGAACAGATCCAAAGTATTTAGAGTGGATAACTGTTAATAAACAGTTGTAACTTCTGGATGATGTTTCTCGTAGTTCTCCAAGTTTCCGCTGCATACACGGGTGGAGTTAATTAGATACGTTTCCTAATTCATACTGCATCTCCAATGTTTTCAAAGATCTTTGTCAAATCGATTTGAAATTAAAGGAAATTCATGAGAGAATAGTGTATTAATGGTTAGTTTGCCAGTTGACTTTATCATAGAAATTGAGTATGGATTTGTAGCTTAGAGCTTTTGTTGTGAATATTTGATTGAAATGAAACTGGGGATTGATCACATGTTGCACTTGTACTTTCTTGTTTAGTTAATTGTGGAGGCTCAGTTTCACAACTTATCCGAGTACATGGAACAAGTGGATCATTTCTTTGATTTACAAAGTGCTAATCTTTTGACATTTTCAAAGAGAAATGTAAGTCAATAAGATGAGTTCAGTTGTTGTATTTAATTAATAAATGAAACTTCTTTTAATTGATTGATCGCATTTCAATCCATGATTAGTCACGGTGAAGCACTGGACGGTCGTTTCGTCCTATTGTTGGACTCGTCAGCGGTGCGCATCCACGATCTCACCCCTTGCGAGATTCGAACCCAGGACCTACTGGTTTCATGCGTGAGCATTTAACCACTAAACCACTGAACCGGCCAACATCCAACGGTGTTAATGTCTAACTTTAACTAATCCACGAAATTGAGCGACACATCCACCATTGTCTTTAATGAGTTACTATCTCACAACAGATCCGGTTGAAACCCTCTGGTCACTGCTTCTAACTAGAACTGCATGAAATGTCTGTTGGAGACCGTCACTAATGAGCATATGATGATTACAATCAGAAAACGGTTTTTGCAGATATTATAGTGATTTCAATGGTTGAGATGATGAGTGAATTGAAGCTAGACCACTATGGAAAACCATTGAAATCATGAAATGACTAAAGAAGAAATTTCAAACATAATCTACTAGTTGAAGTGTTCCTACTGAGAAAACGTCATTGGAAAAATCCGATTTGCCTATGATCTTCATCTCCATGAACAATTACTAACTGTCGAACGTTATGATGAGTGTTCGCTTACATTAAAACAAATGGACATGTGTGTGTATTCGTCGAACTGGAAAACTGTTGACATTTTGAATAAAAAGAATACAAATGAAACGAGAACATTTTAAACCTGGAACTGGAATGAATTGAGAATAACTAAACAAACGGAAACCGACCTAATTCAACAACAAATTAGGAAAGTCATGGGCAAACAGGATAGAGAATCAAGTGAAAAGAAGAAGGACGTCAATAATCACTGAAGACGAAGATCGACAAGACAAGCTGTCAGTGGTAAGTGGATAAATTCCAACATCTCACTTCTACCTGAAGTTTATGGTAACGATATTGGATACTGGCTTCATGTCATATGATTTCCGTTATTGATGAAGATATAATCAGATACCTTTTTAGCAAATCAATCAGATCAATGAATTAACCTACTAGTATTAAAGCCTTCAGTTAATCATTCCATTTGGATATGTGTACCTCTTTACATTGTTAACTAATCTATTGAGAATCTCAGTAGGATTACTGAAGACGGATCGAACATGTTGTTTTAAACGTGCCCAGTACATGGTACAGACCAATAATAAATGATTTGAGAAATTAGTGTCACTTTTTTCTCAACCCACACCAAATATCATTGTACATCGAGGTAGTGTGGTGTGTGCTACTTATGTAGACATAAGTAGTATATGACGTGAGTCGTGAACAGGATGTCTAGCAGCAGTGAGACAAGAACATCGAACAGTAAAGAATGAAGACAGAACGCAGTTTGTATGAAAATGCACTTACAAAGGAAGTCTGAGTCTTTTGAGACAGTTGATGGACATTCTGCAAATTGAGCATTTACTATATGGTTGTTAGATTTTACTAAGTAGTTCTGTAATTTTGTGTGTCAAATACATTCGATTGTCCCCATTGGTGTTCTTGTTCACTACATTTGGTATCGCTGCCGATCAGGAGAGAGGAAGCGTGCCGTTCTGTGGACGCCGTTGCGTGCCCGGAGCTGAGGTGCAGGTTGGGCAGTCTGGTGGAGTGTTCTGGCGGGGCGGTGTTGGCTGTAGCAGGTGCTGTCGACGGAGAGGAGCGGTGGGACGTGCGGCTGCTGGGCGGATATCGGATGTAGATGGCTCAGCAGGCCGGTGGAGCACGGGTGTCAAACGTCCCAGGTGGCGGATGGAGGTCGGATGTTGGTGCCCCAGTGGGTCGACGGAGCTATGTAGGTCAACGCGCCGCAAACTTGACATTTTGACGGGTGGCGTGTCAAATACATTCGATTGTCCCCACCCGTGTTCTTGTTCACTACAGTAGGAGATAGATGATGACAAGTTAAGTATGTCCCAATTAACTCAGTTGACGAAGATTCACCATCGCATTAATTTATTTGTTATATTTACCTATTACTCATTATTTGATCTCTCATATTTATTCATTTATCCATTAATATTATCTATTTATAAGGACTGAGTTTTATAGACACCATGTGTAAAGCAGAGTGAATTATTGAGGAATATACTTGTACATTAGACTGTAGTTTAACACCTCAGTTACACTAACAGTAATGTGCTTCTGGCTGTTTGTGGAATAGATTTTCCCTTTTCTGAACCTGAACTACTCCTCTCTATAGTTAGTGGGGCTGAAACGCATTGGAATAGCTAGCCTATTGAATATTATGTGACTGAGTCTTCGTCCAGTTCGCAGGTTAGGTGAATTCATAATCTATTGAAACATAGTAGTAAGGCAAAATGCAATGGAATATTGATTTATTATTGTAGATTTGAGGCTGTAGAGTTTCTTAGTTTGTATCACAGTTTAATCTCAGGTTGACAGTCATTGAAAATCGGGAAGTAGTAGACATGTTTGTTTGAGGAATCGATCTCGGCTGACTTGTCTAAAGGTTAGACTTTAAAAGTAATACTGAAATTTATTGAATTTATTCTCTATGGGATTCATTGATATGGATTGCAATATAGTTCCGTAATAGGACAAGATAACTGTACTATACATGCTAGTTGTCTAATTGAGTCTAGTTCATAATGTAAACTATGGATCATGGAGAGTTCGGTTTGAATGAGTAGAAATTGTGTGTAATGAGAACAGGTAATGTTTCCATTGTTATATTATATATCATTGTATCACTTCGTATTCACACAGACTACTTTATCATTATTATTATTATTCATATTATACGGAATGAATTTGCTTTATCATTTTTTGGAACTGTTAGGACATGAATAAAGAGAGATATGGATTAGTTTCTAAAAGAATCATTAGAAGAACTGAGTCTGTTCAGGTGAAACGAAGTGTTTATTTGGCAACAGATGATCCTAATATTTTTACTCAACTACCTTACAGTTATCCAAATTACACTGTCTATGGTAGTCCAGGTAGATCACAGTCAGCTAAATTGAATATGCGGATGTCAGTTAGTTCAATGAATAATGCATTTGTTGACATCATTGCACTTTCAATGACGGATTTCCTTGTATGTACATTTTCATCGAATGTAAGTAGTATGTTTTGACTTCTATGAATAATATTCTGTTGTCTGTTTTGACTGGAATTTGAATGAATAAAGAATTCACATCACCACAATATTGAATGGAAATGATTGATCAGTAATGATAGAGAAATGTAGAGGGTTTTTGTTAACTTGATGTAGGTCGACTTCCGTTAACAGGAGTATTTGATACTCCATGTGTGCAATTGATGAGTGTTTATCTCATAGCTCTCTATGAAAAGTATCCTTCTAGATTTGAATATAAAATCAGAGAATGAGAGAGCAACTATCATTGGGTCCAGAATAGTCTACAATAAAGCGCATAGTTTTTGTCTAGTTCAGTGCTATCAGGTTTACTATGGCAGTCTAACCTAGATCGGTTCATGATTCTAATCAAATTCAACAATCTCCACAACCTCAAACTGAATGTATTTCAGTCGGTCAGTCAGTCAGTCAGTCAACAGCGCAGAACTTCGTACATCAGTTCGAGTTGCCATACCACATTAGCACAGAGATTCAAATTTCAATTCGAATTCCATAGTGGTAGAGTTAGTAAAAGTATAAACAGTAATCGGAAAGATTAGGATTTGTAGATGTTATTCAAGGAGTATAATTCAGTGATATAAATGTAGAAATAGAAAAATAGGGATATGAAGAATTCAGAAGATCGGAATTCGGGAGAACACAAAGACTGGACACACCTGCACACACTATTGCAAACGATTTTGAGTAATGTCACTCAAGGTCTCTAACCGTCGGTTATCGTCTGGCGGATGCCAACGAGATAGTTTACAGCTAGCGACGTAGCTCAGTCCACTTGTCTGTAACTTCATGGAATTTTGCCATGTTTTGGTGTGGTCGCCTCTATATTTCTTCCAACCTACACCTACACCAAAAAAAACATCGCTCGTCGAAGCATTCGGTGATTGGTTGAGTATACGTAACACATATCCCAGCTATGTCAAATGATGAACTTTCACTACTTCATCCATTTTATTTGCCATCGTTACCTAGTATCCGTTTCTTAACAACTGTATTACTTAATCGATTGTCCCAGGATATACGACTAGTAGTCAACAGTTATGAAATTCTATTCAGAATCCTAATCCATAATTTTATTATTATTATTTTTCTTAGGTTTGTCGTTTAGCCTATGAGTTAATGCAAACACGTCATATGGATTTAGGTGATGCCACACAATTATTTCATTCAATCGATTTGTTATTTCATGAAGAAGATTATAGCAAACTAAAATTTGATGTGATCATACCAGATACAAAGGAGCATTTAAAGTATGGTGATTTAGTGGAGATCACCAAGACTTACTGGAATGGTTCAGTGTCAGTAAAACTAAATCAGTCAAACCAAAAGGGTATGAAAAATGAATTATTCATTGCACCTACCTACAAGTTGAGACCTAAAATAAATATGACTGGATTCAATTGACACAAGTGAGATTGTTTTCAATAGACTACATATGAGTTTAGATTGAGTTTTATACCGCCAACATTTTTTTCAGCTTCTTTTCCTGATGTCTTTCATTATCCTGATCAATATTTATACACAGTTAATAACTTATATTGACATTCCTGTAGATCTGTTGAGTTTCATGGATGTGTGTTTCAATTAAATCTTTCCTGAAATTATATGGTACTACCGAATAGACGTGATTCATGCAAGAACATTGAGAAATTTTAAAGTTGGTTATTGACAAGATGAAGATATTCGTTCTAAAGTTATGATTGTTTATATTGATGGAAATGGTTTGAAGATGTCACAGGTATATGGAGTTTGACAACGCTTTAACCAGGAACACCTTCTAATATAAATTATACCCATCTAGTGTAACCAAAAGTCAGAATCGTGTAGGTTCGAGGATAAATTTGATAGGCTATCAATATATCATAAATCAACTGATCTAAACTAGCTGACGATTGCAGGGGAAGTTGATCACTGCGTTCCCATTCGTGATCTAGTATGGATGCATGACCGAAAGCTTTCAGCTAGGTGAGTTCATCAAAACTAATGTGGTTAGCACTCAATGTTGAAGACTTGCAGAGTTATTGATTTTGGGCATTTATTTACTGCCACAGGTCTCCCCCCCCCACAGTGGGGTAGTGATGATTTTTAGATGTGGCCAGCTAGAAGTTTAAGCCCCATAAGTTTGTTGTTGATAAACACTCTTTTAATAGCTTGCCATGCTTAGCAGTGTCTGCTCATCTTTCCTTACTATAAGGGACCATGTAGTACAAAATAGTAGTAAACACAAAGTACAATGAAACTTTCGGTTCATCGTAAACTTCGTCGTTCTTTTTCGTCTTTTCTAGCTGTCATGGTAAGTGCATGTCGAGTCACACTCGTACATGCGTGAAGACACATAGCGGGCGAAAGAAAGGAAAATAATCTCATACATATGCGATAGCGTAAATGCGATTTTTACAGGATGGTTTCAATATAAGCATATTAAAACTTTAATACAAAGAAAAATCAAGATGAAACAAAATATTAATTAGTGTCTTACATGCAATAATTGTTCACATGTTCAGATACTGCCAAGATATCATCATGAGTGTTGTCTATCAGATGAATTATCATAAGTGTAGGAGTCGCGTCTTCCGATTGTATCGAGGGAAAATCGACGTGGATAGGGTTTTCTTCTAAATACACTGTTTTGATGCGATCGATGCCGATGCTATCGTTAGTTACGTCCTTATTAATTATATAGTATTTAGGTTTGCGCTGATGAACTTTGAAGGGTCCTTCGTATGCTGAATCGAGAGCTTGTCAATGTGAGTCTCGAAGTACAAAGACGTATGTATGATGTTGTAGAGCAGGTTGAACAAAGGCATTAGTTACCTGCGGTCGAGTAAAAACAGATTAAACTGAACGTATTCTGTTTGTAAGCCTGCTCGTGTAGGAGTTTAGATCAATATTTGTTGAAGAAGATGGAGAATCCACGAATTCTTCTGGAAGTTGAAGTATCATTCCATAAACGAGTTAAGCTACAGTATATCCAATGTCAGCTCTGACTGTGATGTGTGGGCGAGAATTATCATGATTGGTTGTCTGTTTAGTCAGACAGGTAAACAGTCTGACAGGTGTCAGATAAACGAACCAATCAGATATAACATAATAGGTCTCGAATTTTGGCGCGAAGTTCATTCATCCATCTGGATGAAATATTGGCCGGATACCATCAGCAACAGAATTCTTTGGGAGAGAACCAACCAGCTTCCAGCGGAAGAAGAAATTAGGAAAAGACGATGGAAATGTATAGGACATACATTGAGGAAATCATCAAACTGCATTACGAGACAAGCGCTAACTTGGAATCATGAAGGAGAGCGGAAAAGATGAAGGCCAAGGAAATAGAAGAGGATATGAAAGGGATGAATAAGAACTGGAAAGAGCTTGAAAGGATTGCCCAGGACAGGGTTGGATGGAGAATGCTGGTGAGCGGCCTATGCTCCTTCACGAGGAGTAACAGGTGTAAGTAAAGTAATTTAGATGAATTGAGTTTTAGCATTATAGCTGATATTAGTTCGTGATGAAAACCCACCTCCAAATCTAATTCCTAACCGTAAAGATCAACTAAAAATCATAATTCTAATGCCCGTCTACAATGTTTCATGACCCTGATTTGGTCCTAGTTTAAGGTGGACACTTACAAGGTCACTATAGTGTTGCTCGAAGGTTGTCCATAAATCATAGTCTCGCCATTATTTCATTCCTTTTCTTTTTAAGATGAAGATAAAGGTCGTTTACTATGAATGATGTTGGCTTAAGATGATCTTGAATCATTGAATGATAGAATTTGAAAACTGTGACCAGTGAATCATATTTTCAAAATTAAGTGATAATATTTACGTCACTATGTCCAAAGATTTTTGTTTCTACGTTAAATGGTTTCTAGGTTGAAACGCCTGAGAAATCCTGGATGACTGTGAAAAAGCTGTCTATAGTGCCTTCTGATCTTCTGAAGTTCATCGGCTGATAGTTAGGAATAAATTAGATGGTGATTGGAGGTAGTCGACAGGAAACCCTGGACCCGGGTTTCGTGCTACTTGGCACTCGTCAGCAAGGTGTACCTGTAATCTTTGAGGGAACTGGTGCTCCCTGGCGGATTCGATCCCGTGTCACCCAGCTTCACAGTCAGAGACGAGTGCCAAGTAGCATGAAACCCGGGTCCAGGGTTTCCTGTCGACTACTTCCAACCACCATCTAATCCCACAATAGTGCCCGCAGTGTCGAGTCACCTAGACTGGTGGCCACATTGCAACATGATCGATAGCATTCGATCTGCACTAATAATAAGGACTAGACACGCATGACATTCGTCACCCAGTGATCAATCAATTGTGAGTTAGGAATAAAAGATATCTTCAAATTATATGTACGTCTACACACACACACACACATAACACCACAAACGTTCAGTATTTCGACTTACTTATCAAATAAATGATGCTTAAATCTTTAATCTCTATAAGTTTAATTTTTTATTCTAAAAATTAGAAAACATTCAATTTCGAGAGATTTTTAAAATTATCTGATGACCTGTTAAGGCCGAAACTCCGCCTGGAGTCCCTCTGTGGGCTACTGCTGGTTCCAAGCCCGAATAAAGGAGGAAGGTTGGGCATGGGGTTAGCGACCCCATCCTGTAGAAAACTAATTCGCTAAGAAAAACTCTAACCAGAAAAAAATTATTATTCAAACCTATTAAGGCCGAGAGTGGGAATAATCAACTCTTCCTCCCCAAATACTGTCACATGGTCACGTGCATGCAATCACTCCCATGGAAGTCTTACTCACTGCCTTCTGTAAGTGACGGTGCTCTTTACGAAATTGAGAGGACGAAAAGAAAATGTCCGACACTTTAACCGAGTTTGTGAACATCGAGGATTCACGTAGGGAAGTTGGAAAACCTTGATTTTGAACCAATCGTGCACATGGGTTCATGGATCCTAAGGGAATGAATGGGGTATGAACCAGTTGTTGGTCGCCGGCTACCATGGAACTACATCTGCTAACGTTGCTCCACTGTCTTATCAATCAGACCTATAGGTCGAAGGCTCCTGTTTCGGTGTAGGCACCCGGGCAGTATCACGGTCCACCCACAAATCAAGTGACTTTTGTGGCGTATATAAATTCGGTGCCTCTTTGTACTAATATTTATATGTTTAAATAAAAATAAACTACTGTATAAGAAAACCGCTAGTTTTAAACCCAACTGACGGTTTTCAATGGACATTTGAATCATGATATTAAGCAACTCTTCACATAATATTTCAGATAGATACCCATTCTCATCCTCTGTCTGAATCCCTTCATAAGAACTAATGGAGTCTTGTCAAACGCTTTGGTGTTTTATGTTTGTCATTTCAAAAGGTCACTTAGAATTCACCGATTGAAATAAACAAAATATTCTTGATACTTTTTCAATACCCATACACCCTGAAAATATGGTTGTAAATGTAAGTTTTCGTCTGGTGAAGATTGGTAGTATTGTATAAACACCTACTTGTCTAATAGTTCATCTTGAGATGGTGGAGGACATTTCACCTCTATCTGAAGTTTGTACTGATGATGTTGTTCAGAAAACTCCACGACTAAACCATCCAGCCCAAAGAACTAAACTTCATCAAGTTCATCTTGAAGTTCTTGTTATTTGCTTATTACTGATTATTGAAAGCATCGTGATTTAGAAGAAAAAAACATTTACAGATCAACACAACTCCATAGAAATTGTGATTGTTCAATTTAATTGAAGCTAATCTCTTTAACTATTTGCTTTGAAAGATTCAGATCAATTAGCGAAGTTATTCGATCAGTTGAATAGTGATCTGCTTCTCAGACTATTTAATCCTGATCTAATGGTTCATTAAAGTGTCAAGTCTTCATAACCTATACCTTTACACCATTTTTAAGTAGGAATATCAGTACTCAGAACTTTGTATGAGATAAATAAAATGTAACTGACAGTCTGATGCAGAATGACCGTTTTCGTCTCATTCTAAACTTATCAGATCAGTATACTTACATATCAGAGTTATCCAGTTAGCTACCGGTACCAGGTAACCACTCAATCGTGTATCAGGTATAAATTTCAGTTTACTTTGTAATATGATACATATACATTCAACAAAACATATATCATTGACAACACTATTAACCGCATTCTATCTTTATCATAGAAGTCTCTGACACAATGTTTATATAGAAGATGTAATATGCGTTAATTGAAACTGATTAGAATTCGATTGAAGTATCAACCACGGAACTACCATAGCCATTACAAATGAAATCCAACCGTTGTTGTTACCTTCAAGTGGTAATCGGGCTTACCTATTATGATGAACCAATCGAATTATACTGGCTGGAACAATCGTTCCTCAAGGCCCTACCATTTTAGACAGGTCTATTGAAGAACGGTAAGACTAAAAGCAACAAACGCAAGGTCCGAAGGCGTACTGCTGACTATACAGATGTGTGACGGCAATAAGGTGTTTCCTTCAGACAACCACCATAGCAGCGATGCTATCTTCCCACATAGAGGAGTGAGGTTAGGAAAGGTCAACCCTAAAAATGCACACCTTGCCTTATCCCACAGATATCCGTCTCCGGCGGTAAGGTCTCAACAAGTACGGAGCTAACAGGAGAATTACTCATAGAACGGTCGTGTGTGACCGACCTCAAGCAGTTGTCCCTTGAACACTGTGATCATACTCTCACGTCACTAAGACCACCTCTAATCCAATTTCATTTTCAGGTACCTCCAGAAGAACCCTTCCACAATGTAGGCAACCAGGAAGTGATAACCGCTCTCATACCTTTAACAACACTAAAGACCACTGTATTATAAATGAAACTAATCATTCAGAACATTATCATCCTTCAACTCTATTCACAAATTATTCATAAACAGCATCATCTATACTAATGTTTTATTTATAAAATGAAAAATAAAACAAAACATAAACAGTACAATACAGTACAGTATAAAATAGAATGAGATCTTATAAAAGAAGGAAAAATACAAACCAATAGAAATTCAAGATGATAAACTATCAGAAAAAAGAAGAATAAGAAGAAAAACAAAAAAAGAGGAGACTCATTGAAATGATCAATAAAAATAACAATCTTTTTTAAAAAAAAAGAGCAAAAAACCAAACAAAGAAAATGAGTGAAATAAACGACGATAGTGACAAGAAGAAGAAGAAGAAGAAGAAGGAAAGTGTGATTATCCTTCAAATTAAATGATATTCATCATTCGTTGTCATAGAAACAAACATGGGAAGTAGAAAAAAAAAACTATGAAAATAACTAGATAATTATTTCATTCTGTTAAAGAATACCCTACTAGAATGAATCAATGATTTAGTACTTTTAAATGGTCTAGTTTCAATGGAATCATTCATTGAATGATTAAACAATCTATTATTGAATTCATACTTCTTAGCTAATTTAATTTGATTACAAGTGATTCATATGACATTGTCTGTCTGTCTATCTGTCTGTGTGTGTATGCGTGTGTAAATATATATAGATTGTATAGAAGATGTGTGCAATCGATATAACTAACCCTTATCATTATAATATAGTATATGATAATCATCATTATTCATTTTTCCGAGAAAAAAAAACGGTAACAACTAATTGTACTACTTATAATGTTTAATAAGTAGTATCATTATGATAATAAAAAAACCATAATGGATAAGATAATAAAATGATGATAAAATTTGAAATTAGTTTTAATTTTCTTTTCAATGAAAGACTTTATATATATATATATATAACCACAGAATGCTTAATAATAAATGAATGAATGATGTAAATGTGGAAAAAAAAACAACGAACAGAAGAAAGTAATCTCTATATGATAAAGAGATTATCTATGTGCATAGCAACAATAATAATTATTATAGTATAGAGATTGATTAAGATCATCAATTGATCATGATTAAAAACATGAAATCATTGATGAGTTTAAAAAATGGTGATTATTCAATGGTTTTAGATTTTCAATAATGATTTAATCAATAATCGATTAATGATTTGAATCCATAATAAAAAATGAGGCACTTTCAATCACCATCATCATCATCATCATCATCATCATCATCATCATCATCATTAATTAATTAATATTGTTTTAATGGAATGCGAGAACTTGAATATGATCTTGTTGATATTGGTATTAATGAACCATGTCTTAATTTATTATTGATAGAAATTAATTGATTATTTTGTTTAGTATCATTTATAACATAATCATTTTCATGTTTTTTATTCTCTCTTGATGAATATACAATTTGTATTGGTTTATTGATGAATTGATGATTGGATTGTTTACATGATGATGATGATGATGATGATACTGTTACTGTTGATGCTGACGTTGTAGCAGATGTAGATGCTGATACAGATGTAGTAGATAATTTACGATGAAACATATTAGCTGATTTACTTCTCATTTGATTTGGTTGATTTCTATTCTGATGATAATACTGCTGTTCATGTTGACGATGAGGATTATGTAATAGTGATGATTTCAATGGTTCTATTGTAGATTTTCTATCAGTTACATTATGATTTCTTATTGATTGTATTCGATGATTATAAGTAGTATAACTAGTATTATTATTATTATTATTCTTAATAAATTTATGATTATTATTCTTACTACTATTATTATGATTATAAGTAGTATCATTTATTGTAGGTAAAATTGAAATCATTTCCATTTGTTTTAAATTCTTTTTATGAATTAATTGTTTACAATTTATATTTAATGAATTTAATGATTTTGATAAATGTTGATGATTATGTAATCTATTCTGTATTGATTTCTGATGTATAGAATGATTATGTCTACTATTAATATAATAAGCAGTAGTAGTTGTAGTAGTACTGTTACTCCCACTACTACTACTACTACTACTACTACTGTTAGTAGTAGTATTAGTAGTATTGGTAGTAGTATTTGCTAAACATGGTCTATTTACAATATATGGTTTCATATTAGATTTATCTAATTCATTTCTTATAATAGTAATAGTTGATTTTTGTTTAAGTAGTTTATCAGTAGTATGGAATGGTTTTTGAATTAAACTATTATGATCTGTCTTACAATCATTATTACTATCCTTATTATTACTATTACTATCACTACTACTATAAGTAGTATTAGTACTACTGCTAGTGGTAGTAGGAGTATTAGTACTACTGCTAGTAGTAGTAGTAGTAGTAGTAGTAGTAGTAGTAGTAGTAGTATCGGTAATCCTATTACGTAATGCTTGTATCTTATCAACACTTTCATTTGACCAATCATAATTTGTAAGATTATCGTTGAAACTAGTTCCTTCACCATCTATTATTGAATTAGTTGGATCTTTCATATATTGATCAGGGATAATAAATCGTGGAAAATGTGTAGAACAATTTAGATTATCATCATCATCATCATCATCATCATCATGTTTATCATTATCATTATGATTATTATTGAATGACGATGTTAAATTGACTTCAGAGAAAAACTGTTATAAAAATAGAAAAGAAAGAAAATATGTGAACGTTATTATATCCTTTATTATCATTTAATGAACCAATAGGAATGAAAGAAGATTACAATTGATGTTTCATTGAAATGTAAGACTGTTCAAATATGTATACTGGTGTAGAGGTAAATAAAATCCCTAATATCGATAGCTCTGTAAATTTTCGATATTAGATGCTGACCATATTCGTTTTAATGAAATTATCTAGCTGAAGGCGCTAGATCATACATTCACACGAGATCATGAATGGGAACGCCATACTCAACATCTTCTGCAATTGCTAGTCAGATTACATCAATCGATTCATGATATATTGATAGCCTATCAAATTTATCCTTGAATTTGCACGCTTCTATTTTTTGATTTCACAAGGTGAGTATGATTCATATTAAAAGGTGTTAATGGTTAAAGCGTTATTAAACTTCAAATATCTATGTCATCTTCATTGTCATATCCTAATGAGAATAGTGGACGGTTAATTTTGGTATCTATGTGTGGATTGATAGTATGTATGTAGTCCAATTGTATAACTGTTCAGTAACTACATTATGTAGATCTATATTTCCCTTATTATATGCTTTATTTTGATTCATACACTATTATGATATGATTAATGGTTCTTGAGTTATGCCCAGTCTATTAATTACAATCTAGAATGGGTTTTGTGGAGAATTGGTAATTTCAATAGTTGAAATCATGAATCAATTGAAGCTAGACCACCATGGAAAACCTGGAAGCACTGGACGGCCGTTTCGTCCTAGTATGGGACTCCTCAGCAGTGCGCATCCACGATCCCGCTCCTCGCGAGATTCGAGCCCAGGACCTATCAGTCTCGCGCCAGGCGCTTAACCAACTAGACCACTGATCTGGCATCCAATAGTGTTAATGTCTAACTTCAACCAATCCACGAAGTTGCTCCACCGTGCGGGATCGTGGATGCGCACTGCTGAGGAGTCCCATACTAGGACGAAACGGCCGTCCAGTGCTTCCAGGGTTTCCCATGGTGGTCTAGCTTCAATTGATTCATGATTTCAACTAAAATCTAGATAAAATCCCTTCTGATATACAAAACTTAATCCATAATGAAAATATTTATGAAATATATTTTATACTACTTACTTGTGATTTAGTAAGACAATTTGTTTCATCTAAAGATTTGAAATGATCTTCAGTAGATTTTTTTAAATGAATTTGATTTTCATTTAAATTTTTGATCGATTTCATGAATGGTGAATCAATTGTATGATTCAATTGTACTTTTCCATTGGAATCATCATGATCATGATGATGATCAGGATCAGGATCCTGATCTCTATGGGATTGTTTCGTCTTAGTTACAGATGATGTACGTTTTTTGACAATATTTAATTTACATTCTGTCATATTTTGAGTTTTATCTTCATTTAATTGATTCATTGAATTTAATTTACATGATCCTACTAGAACAAAAATAAAGAAAAAAAAATTATAAAAGATACATTTCAATTAGGTTAAGTATTTTTTGATCCAGATCATGAATTGATGAATGTTTGATCTGAAAGTATTGGATAGTTGTTTTGTATTTATTTATTTATTTATTGTAACACTAAGGTATTGGTACAAGGAAGCATCAAATATATATGCGCCACACAGATCTCATTTGATGTGTGTGAAGGCTGTGATACTGTTCGGGTGCCCAAGGCGAAGCAGGTGGTTTTCTTAGGGGGCCACAGCCCGAGCCTTTGACCTAAAGGTCTAATCCACAAGGCAGTGGAGCAACGTAAGGAGATGTAGTCCCATAGTAGCCAGTGACCAACGATTGGTTCATACGCCATTTGTTCCTTCAGGATACTGGAGCTAGTCCATGTGTACCATTGGTTTGGGATCCGATTAAAGCGCCGGACATTCTCTTTTCGTTCTTTCAATTTCGTATACAACAGTAATGCCACGAGAAGGCGGTGAGTAGGACTTCCCTGTCAGAGGCTATATACGCGTGACCATGTGGGAGCATTTCGAGAGGGAGAGTGCACTCTCCTCACTCTCGGCCATACCAGGGCATTCGGGGGCAGTTGTTTTGTTCTAGTATTCCATTTCCTTAACAGTGAGCATCGATGAGCTCATGCAAAGGATTCAAACTAAGGACTTTTGGTTATGTATGTGAATGTTTAACTTTAAGACTACTGATCCGGTATTAATATCTCAGTGAATCAGTCGATCAGCTACAACATAGGACCAGGAACATATATATATTGGTCCAAGTTACCATACCTCATTAGCATAACAAGATGAACACCAAATTCATAGATGTAGTCGCTTCAATAGTAGTACTGTATAAAAGAAAGAATTGAAAAAAAATATATAAAGTAATTATAGTCTTATAATTTAAGGGAAGACAACGAGTGTATTCACCGACGCCATTGTGATCGATTCTGTGCCATGTCACTTAGAGTCTCCAACCATTGGTTACGATAGTCACACGGACCCCAACCAAGTAGTCTGCATCTACCACCATGGCACAGATTAGAAGTTAATCGTTTCAATGACTGATGCCGCGTTTTGGTTTGGCCGCTCCTAACTTCCTTCCAACGAACTCCAACACTAGTCAGCATTGCGCGTCGTAGTAATCGGTGTTCGTGCATACGTGACACGTATTACTGTCTAACATCAAGCAATCCGAAATCATGGATACGCACTCATGAGGAGTGTCATACTAGAACGAAACAACCGTCCAGTGTTTCCAGGTTTTCAATAGTGGTCTAACATTCATCGATTTATGATCTCAATCAAGAATTTAAATCACCAGGTTAACATTCATCAGGTACATGTAATCACGTATCGTTAACTTCCTGATTCTAATGTGATACCACATACCCTATATAGACAGACTGTGAATCATTTGATATCAATTCAAAGACTGAATGATGTCATACTTGCCAAGCAATTATAATTTCTTGAGGTTAATACAGTATATAACTTCACCTGGAGCCCCTCTTGGGTTACAGCCGGTCCCAAGCCCGGATAAAGGAGGAGGGTTGACCATGGGGATAGCGACCACATCCCATAGAAAACTAACTCGCTAAAATAACGCTAATCAGAAAAAATAATTCAAACTCTTCTCTGGAAGTTAGAAGATTTTCATTTAGAAGAACTTATGACGCCTCATAGTGAAAGCCAAGTTCCTTTGGAAGTCACGAGGTTGATGCCCCTTCTAACAACCAGAGAAACCATTCATTTAAGTACATGGAATGCTCTTACAATGTGTCAGACTGGAAGAGTCTTCAAAATTACTGCAGAAATAAAACATTATATAGTTATAGGTTGATACATTTGGAAATCTTAAACTAGAACGAAAATAGATATTCAGTGTTTATTAGATTTCAGTAGCTCTGTAGTGAACAAGAACACCAATGGAGACAATCGAATGTATTTGACACACATAATTACACAACTAGTTAGTGAAATCTAACAACCATATAGTAGATGATCAATTTGCAGAATGTCCATCAATTGTCTCAAAAGACTGAGACTTCCTTTGTAAGTGCATTTTCATACAAATTGCATTCTGTTTTCATTCTTTACTGTTCGATCTTCTTGTCTCACTGCTGCTAGACATTCTGTTCACGACTCACGTCATATACTACTTATGTCTACATAAGTAGCACACACCACAGCTCTTCAAATAATGTTACTTTATAATGAGAAATCTCTTTACTTGCTATATATTATTGAGAGTTGATTGAAGTAATTAATCTAGACTATAGGATTTCAGTTCAATAGTCTAAACTTATCATACTGTGAGGACTATCCACGGATGAATTCGAAGATGCTCTAAGAAGCTCAGAAAGAACTGAAGATATTCCATTCAATTATCTTTTAGAAGAATATTACAGGATTTCTATATGTAGCTTCCCGATTGGACAAATGCTAATACTCCCCCCCCTGTATGTGGATTGGATGACTATAATGATGATTTCGTTTTTATTAAAAACTATAAATACCTGACAGTTTTTGTACTATAATTTGACACTATTATGGAATAACATTCTTTTCATTTGTCTTCTATCTTCTCATTTGAGACTTGGAAGAGTTCTAGCATTCAAGTGTTCAAATTATACGCGGTATAATAAGAAACGAAGCTCTACATATAACACATACTCTATGAGAAACATGAAAAGATGGTAGTTTAGAGATTGATCTCATTTTAAGGTCTAATCATCAATCCTCAACTAGAAGTAACTATCTATTTAGTATCCCGTAAGTTTTTAATGATCCTTCTTATTATTTATTTTAACACATAGATATCGGTACAAGAAGGCACCAAATACATATGTGCCACATAGATCTCATTTGATATGTGTGAGGGCTATGATACTGCTCGGGTGTCCAAACCGAAGCAGGTGGTTGTCTTAGGGGGGGGCATATCCCGAGCCTTCGACCTGAACGTCTGATCCACAAGGCAGTAGAGCATCGTGAGGAGATGCAGTCCCATGGTAGCCGGTGACCAACGATTGGTTCATACGCCATTTGTTCCTTCAGGTACTGGAGCCAGCCCATGTGCATCATTGGTTTGGGATGTGGTTAAAGCGCCGGACATTCGCTTTTCGTCCTCTCATTTTCGTAAACAACAGTAGTGCCACGAGAAGGCAGTGAGTAGGACTTCCCTGGCAGGGGCTGTATACGCTTGGCCATGTGAGAGCATTTCGAGAGGACGAGCGGACTCTCCCCACTCTCGGCCATACCAGGGCATTTGGGGGCTAATGATCCTTTGGTTAATAATTAGCTAGTGAATTATACAATACCTCGGAACCTGAACACGGTGGATCTGATGCAGATGTGAATGTGAGGATCTGCAGAGAAAGAGAAGTATATCTTGAATGAAGAAGATCTCGAACGCAAAACAACTGCCTGTCAACCAACACCCAAGTCAGAATTTTCAATACAGATGTGAAGATAGTTCTACTGTATGGGGTCGAACCTTGAAGAACTACGAAAACCATCATACAGAAGATACAAGTGTATATTAATAGTTGTCTATGCAAAATACTTCAAATTCGTTGGCCAGACACTACACTATCAGCAACAATCTACTGTGAGAGAGAACAAACCAGATCCCAGTGGAGGAATAAATGAAGAAGAATCACTGGAAATGGATAGAACACACATTGAGGAAAGCACCCAACTGCATCAGAAGACAAGGTTTCACATAGAATCTCCAAGGCCAAACGAGAACACATTACACCAAGACATAGAGACAGACAGACATGAGAAGAATGAACAGTGATTGGATAGAAGAAGAAAGGAAGGTTGATGACAGAGTTAGTTCGAAAATGCTGGTTGGCAGACTATGCTTCATTGAAAGTAACAGGCGTAAGTAAGTAAGTATGTAAGTGAGAAACAAATCTAATAACCGTCGTCAAAAACAATTGAAGTTACCATAGTTTTTCACACAACATTATCATACTTTGTTATCGATAGGATTGATGATATAAACTCAGGCTAAGAGAACACCTTAATCTCAATTACTAACCCTACCTTAAAGTATCATCTAATCTACATATGATCTGTAAAACAGTTTGATACAATGAAATGGGTAAAACTTTTAAAAACTAAATAGAAGGAACGCTTACATGGATTAACTTTACGACATTCATCATATTTTGATAAGAAATGACTTAGTGTATCCCAGCCACCACCGACACGAACCATGACATGATTTCTTAGTATCTAAATTCAAAGAATAAAATAGGTTTGATTGAAATGATACAACATATCGAAACAAACTTAAATTATATTGCGTAATGTTTTAGATATCAGTCAAGTACCCGACGTTTGCCATGGTGACAACGAATCTCACTAAGAACTCATAAATAAGACATAAATTTACGTAGAAAAGTAGATATACTAAATTAAGCCAAGGATAATCTACAGAATCAATAATTCATACATTTCTAAAGTGTTTAAATAGGTGTCATAAAATAATCTTGACTATTTTCATTTCATTACACTTACTGTTCTTCCATATAACTTGAATAAACAGATCAACAGTTGAAACGTTGTTATAATCTTGATCAATAGTTATATCCAAACCCATTTGAATCTCAAGATGCAGGATATTCGATACTCACAACTGAGGAGTCCCATACAAAGAAGAAAATGATCAACCAATGCTTTCAAGTTTTCCATAGTGGTCTAACTATAATTGGACTCATGAATTTAACGATTAAATTACTAAAATCTTTACAAAACCCCCTTCTGTTTAAAAGGATACTTTTTGAAGTGAAAAGTTGAACTACTTAATTATGTTTAAGTAGTATAACTATTTGTACTAAATAATTGTTATGGAGCAACTACTTGGCATGTACTGGAAACGAAACATATGTATATTCATATATTTAATGACATATAAAGTCTTATGGAAGATTGAAATCTATATAATCACCGCTAAAAATCAAAACATCACCATAAGAGATCTATTAGAAGTGGGTAAAAAAGAAGATATATCATTTCATATATCATTTCGAATCTCACAGGGAGCGAGGTCGTGGATGCGCACTGCTGAGGAGTCCCGTAATAGGACGAAACGGCCGTCCAGTGCTTCCAAATCTTCCATGGTGGTCTAGCTTCAACTAACTCATGATCTTAACTATTGAAATTACTATAATCTGCACAAAACCCCTTCTGATAATTACAAGTAGTGTTACTATTAGTAGTATTAATAGTAGTATAATTTGATTTATATGACCTATTTGTTCACAGCATGATTATAACAATTATAATTGATGATGAGTTTTAAAAAAAACAAAAAAAATTATACATGATTAGATATACTTCAATCAGATTAGTAATGATATGGTTAACCTCATATCTGTAATGATTCAATGAGAAAATTTGAGTGTACTCAAATTCTTATCAGCAATTGATAATGATTACTACAACACCCCTCCACCCCCCCACACACACACATACACATACATACACATACTTGATTATAATACTCTTGTAGTGAACGAGAACACCAGTGGGGACAATTGAATGTATTAAAATACAACATTACAGAATTGGTTGTTAGAATTTGAGAAGTATAAAGTAAATAATTGATTGTTCTTTTGTTTCTATACTAATCATTCATTGTACTTGTTCTCTTTTCTTTGATCTTATTAATCTTCTATCGTCAGGTGTTTCACTTTCAATTGATGATACAATATTACTTATATATGTCGAGATCAAGAGCACATACCACGATCTTAGTGACAAAAAACTAACTATTAATTTTAAACAAAGTGCTTAATGGATTTAAATGACCACTGAACCTGCCGACATCTTATGGTGTTAATGTCTAACTTCAACTAATCTACGAAATCGAGCGACACATTCATGAATGTCTTGAGTGATTAACTATCACACAGCAGATCCTATTGAACTCCACTGATCAGTGCTTCTCACTAGAACTCCAGGAAATACCTCTTGAAGCCATTCACCATTATACATATGTTGTTTAGTATCAGAAGAGGTTTTGTGGATATTATTAGTAATTTCAATAGTTGAGATCATAGGTCAATTGAGGCTAGACTATCATGAAAAACCTGAAAGCACTGGATGGCCGTTTCGTCCCATTGTGGAACTTCACTAGTACGCAACCACGATCCCCTCCTCGCGAGATTTCAATCCAGGACTTATCGAATCGAATCTCACAATTAAAAAGTCGTGAGTTCAAATCGTACGAGGCGGTATCATGATTGTGTGTTGTTGAATAGTTCGATACCGGGAACGAAACAATCGTTTAGTGTTTCCAGGTTTTTCATGATGGTCTATCTTCAATTGACTTATGATTTCAACAATTGAAATTATCTTTAATAATGAATACATAAAACAATCAATCCTTTATAACAAATGGCATTATTTACTTGTAATCAAACTAATAAGTAAAACTCATTTGCAATTCAAATAATGTCTTATTAATATGAAATGATTGTGATCTATTGTTTGCTTGCTATGATTATTATTATTATTATTATTATTATTATTATTATTATTATTATCAATATTATCTATGATAATGAAGTAATTTGAAGAGACAAACATACAAGTTACAACTGATTCATTCATTAAATAGTATGATTACATGTTTGTACATATTTATCCATTGTTTTTAGTGTGATCAGTCTGTCAGTTACAATGTAGCACAAGGCACATATATATGCATCGGTCCAAATGGCTATACCACATTAGCACAACAAGATGATTACCGAATTCATAGAAGTAGTTAATTCAGTGGTGGCGATATATAAAAGAAAGATTGCATATAAGGAGATAGTACAGGAAGGAAGAATTAGTTCGTAGAAAGATAGATATGAAGTGATTTTAATCTCATAGTTTAAAGGAAGATAGAGAGTGTATACACCGACGCCATGGTGATCGATTCTGAGCCATGTCACACAGAGTGTCCAACCATTGGTTACGATAATCAGGCGGACTCCAATCAAGTAGTCTGCATCTACCAACATGACTCAAACTAGAAGTTAGTGAATTTATGGACTGATGTTATGTTTTAGTTTAACTGCCCCATTTAATGTAATTCTCCTTGTTTATGAAATAAAATCATTTTAAACAAAGATGAATAGTGTCTAGTAGTGGGATTGAGGACATTTATTTCATCCTATTTGAAAAACGTCAGCTGGATATTTTAATCTAGTATTGTTCGTTTCAAGTGTCATCATTTCATGCAATTAGCTACCAAGTTTAGATAACCATCGGGTTATGCAATAGGTTGAAGTATAATTCATTTGTATTGGATTGTTCACACTGAATTCTAATGCTAGCCATCATTGATCTCTGGTTAGAATACTAGTGACTTAATGCCAAATATCAAAGAAATCTGAAAAGAGTGAACATATGCCAATTCAAACAACCCGTATATTCATGTCAGTGTTTTTTTAGGAAGATTATGGTTGTCAATTCCATGCTTAACCCTTTTTCTTTACATGGGTTTGAGAGTAGCAGTAATCCTAGTAGAGTTACAGGTGAACAACCAGTACAATTTGTTATTTCCTTTTTTATTTTAATCGATTTTTATTGATTTTGGAAACATCTAAACAATTTCTACAATTCAATATAAAGTAAATCAGTCAGTCAGTCAGTCACAACAACGTAGAACTTCGTATGTACGTACATCCGTTCGAGTTGACATACTACATTACCACAGAGATTCAACTGTCGATTCAAATCTCATAGTAGTAGAGGTAGTAAAAGTATAAGCAGTAATCGGAAAGATTAGGGTTTGAAGATGTTATTCAAGGAGTATAATACAGTGAAATAAATTCGGAATGAGAAGAAAAGGGAATTGAAGAATTCAGGAGATTAGAATTTGGGAGAACACAAAGATTGGATGAACCTGTACATACTATTGCAAACGATTTTTAGCCATGTCATTCAACGTCTCCAATCATTGGTTGCTATCGTCTCGCGGATCCCAACCAGATAGTATACACCTACTAACATAATTCAGTCCACTTGTCTGTGACTTTATGAATTTATACCATGTTTTCGTCTGGCCGCCCCCCCCTAGATTTCTCCAATCCTATTCCTACACCATAAAACATCGCTCGTCGGAACATTCGATGATTGGTTGGGCATACATAACACATATCCCAGTTATCTCAAATGATGAAATTTCACTACTACATCAATTGATTTATCATCCTTACCTAGTACCCATATCCTGACAACTATATTACTTACTCAATGGTCCCAAGATATACAAGCAATGCTTCGAAGACATCTAATGGTCGGATACTACTAACCTACAATGAGGACGAAATGAACTGCTGGCACAGTAATAAACCAATCCTTTGATTACTTATAAAGTAAACACTAAAAAGTAAAGAAAAAAAACAAAAAAAAACAAAAAAAACAAGCAAAAGAGTATAGTGCCAATCAGCTGATTAAAAATTTTACTTACTCGAACAAATATTTGTGTACTTTTATCACCAAATAAATAACGTCCTTCACCAATACGTACCATAGGAAATGTTTGTTTACAAGTACATTGTGATAATAATTCACGTACCTAATAGAAATAATAAAAGACAAATAATTATTGATTCTTTCAACATAGATTTAATAAATATGAACGTCAAGACAGTTCTATTGTATAGAGTTGAAAGTTGAAGAACTAGCTTAGCAACAGTAGATCTCAACATATACAAGAGATAAAGCAAGATCCTTAAATACAACATGAAGAACATCAATCTAATATGAATTGATGGATAAGCTATGAAATATGTGGAATCATTCATGTACTTAGGAAGTCTTATTGATGAACAAGGAAGATCGGATACTGACGTAAAGACAAAGATTAGTAAAGAAAGGATAGCATTCCTACAAGTGAAGAATATATAGAACTCAAAACAACTATCGATCAGTATCTAAGTCACAATCTTTAATATGAACGTCAAGACAGTTCTATTGTATAGAGTTGAAAGTTGGAGAAGTACTACAACTATCATCAAATAGGTACAAGTATTTATAAATAGTTTTCTAAGCAAGAAACTCAATATTCATTGGCTGAATACCATCAACAATAGCCTATTGTGAGAGAGAAAAAACCAGGTTCAAGCTGAAAAGGAAATTAGGAAAAGATGTTGGAAGTGGATAGGGCATACATTATGGAAATCATCAAACTGAATCACAAGGCAAGCTCTAACCGGAAATCCTGAATGGAAGCGGAAAAGAGGAAGGTCAAAGAACACATTGCATCGGGAATCGGAAGCAGACATGAAAATTATGAATAGTAACTGGAAAGAATTGTCCAGCATAAAGTTGGATGGAGAATACTGGTTGGAGGCCTACGATCTTTGAGGAGGGGTAACAGGTGTATATATCGATGCAAATGATCATATTGGACATAACGATAATCAACAATAACCTGAACTGACTCTACTCTATCGATCAAGTTTCAAGTGCAGTCACTAATCTAATGCCAGGATTTCTTAACAACTGCCTCCAAAAGCCACCTTACATCTTAACGTAATGTACCCGATGCCAAGTCATCTAGAGTAGTGATCACATTACAACTTAATCAATAGAATTTGATCAGCACTAAAAAGAGGTTTGAAAGACATCACATCGATTACTATTTAGTGATCACTTAGTATTTTTTGGATTGTATCTTCCAATTGAGGTTTAAGATTTCAGTTGATCAGTCTGTTATTGGTATATGTGCATACTGTGTGTATGCCTCGATATTGCCTTAATTCACAAGCTTTTTGTAGTGTAAGTGATGACGGATAATGGCTAGCAGTAGAATCTAGGACGCGCGTTTCGTCCTATTCGAGCTCATCAGCTGGATCTACCTACATCTCAGAGTTGATGTTCACTCTGTGAATTAACGCAATATCGAGGCATATGCACAGTATGTACATATGCCAATAACAGACTGATCTATTGCAGTCTTAAACCTCAATGGGAAGATACAAGCCAAATAATACCAAGTGAATTTAAATTCACCTCATTGCACAAGCAAGTGGCTATCAGCACTCAGTAGTTGTGTGGATAATGCGATGGCGTTTGAAGTGAATGGTACTGGGTTCGAGTCATAAAGTGAATATCAATGAGTCTGAGATGCAGGTATATCCAGCTGACGAGTCCCAAATGGGACGAAACATGCGTCCAACTGAATTCCACGGCTAGCCATTATCCATCATTCGTGATCACTTAGTTATAAAATACATCTCACTCATACAGAAAGTCAATCACAACCTGAATAACTCGATGGTAACATCTTTAAATGTCCAGCAGGATGAAACAAGATCCAATCCACTAAGAAGGCATTCATTCTCTTTAGATTACAGAGGTATACTTTGCAGATAAGTCCTAAATAGTTCAAAATTTAAATTAATCAAAGTATCTTGTCAATTTATCTTCAATCATTATCTTATAGTCTTAAATGCATACAATAAACTATCAAGAAAATTCTCATTTAGATACATGATTCAATCAATTTACTTGTAAGTTACTGATTGACTATGAGTAGAATTGAATAGTGATAGTAATGATAACCATAATCTGGAACTCAAAACAATTGGCAACCAACACCAAAGTCAGAATTTTCAATACAAATGTCGAGACAGTTCTACTGTATGGGGTGGAAACCTGGAAAACTACGAAAGCCATAATCCAGAAGATACAGGTGTTTATTAATAGTTGTCTACGCAAAATACTTCGGATCCGTTGGCCAGATACTATTAGCAACAACCTACTGTGGGAGAGAACAAATCAGATCCCAGTGGAGGAAGAAATCAGGAAGAAGCGTGGAAGTGGATAGGACACACATTGAGGAAAGCACCCAACTGCGATACAAGACAAGCCCTCACGTGGAATCCTCAAGGTCGAAGGAGGAGAGAAAGACCAAAGAACAACACATTACGCCGAGAAATGGAGATAGACATGAGAAAAATAAACAAGAATTGGATGGAACTAGAAAAGAAGGCCCAGGACAGAGTGAGTGGTTTGGAGAATGCTGGTCGGCGGCCTATGCTCCATTAGGAGTAACAGGCGTAAGTAAATAAATAAGTAAGTAATAATAACCATACTTGAATAGATAAACTTTAATTTTCTGTGAATTTTCCATACTCTTTATTGAAATACCAAGTTTATTTGACAGAAGTACAATGTAATAAACCTGAAATAATCACTACCATTCAATCATTCTCTATAATACACGCACACATACATACATACATACATACATACATACATACATACACACACATACATACATACATACATAGATACATACATAGATACATAGATACACAATAGTTCTCTCTTTCATTAAGTAAGTACGTATGAAGTTCTACGTTGTTACTCTATAGTACTGTATTAGATGGTTATATTATAAACCAGTTAACTAACTAACATCACTTCATTAAACTGTCACTTGACTATTCTTCCATTTTTTTTCTTTTTGTTTTTGTTTTTGTTTTTTAATTTTCTTCATGTACTCAAGGTGAACAAAACAAAACAAAACAAAATGAACTCAATTAGTCAATTTTAAGAATGATAATACTATCAATACTACTTATACTACTACTACTACTACTACTACTAATAATAATAATAATAATAATAATAATAATAATAATAATCATTCAGCTACAAAATAGGACCAGGCACATATATGCATCGGTTCAAGTTGCCATACCTCATTAGCACAACAAGATGAACAGCGGATTCGTAGGAGTGGTTAAGTCAATGGTGGTAATATATAAAAGAAAGATTTTGCATATAAGGAAGAAAGATTTAGTTGGTAGAAAGAAAGATACGAAGCGATTTTAATCTCTTGGTTTAAAGGAAGATAGAGAGTGTATACACCGACGCCACTGTGATCAATTCTGAGCCATGTCACCAAGAGTCTCCAATCATTGGTTACGATAGTCATGCGGACCCCAATCAAGTAGTCTGCATCTACCAACATGACTCAAACTAGAAGTTAATGGCTTCAAGCACTAGTGTCACGTTTTCGTTTGGCCGACTAATAATAATAATAATAATAATAATGCTAACTAGTATCTTTAACCAATATTATCTTATAATGAATAGAGTAGGGATGAAAAGATAGTTAGGTTGTATGAATTAGTAAGATTTGAACTCAGAATATATCGGTCTCATAAGAAGCAGTGACCAATAGAGTTCAACCACGTCTGGTGTGAGATAGTAACTCACTAAAGACAATGGTGGACGGCGGCTCAATTTCGTGGACATTAACACTAATGGATGCTGACCGATTCAGTGGTCTAGAGGTTAAGCGTTCGCGCGCAAGACTGATAGGTCATACGTTGGAATTTCACGGGGCGGATTCGTGGATGCGAACTGTTGAGGAGTCCCACAATAAGACGGGATGGCCGTCCAGTGCTTTCAGGTTTTTAATGGTGGTCTAACATCAATCGGTTCATGATCCGAATAAAAAAAATAATGCTAACTAGTCTATTTAACTATTATTATCTAATAATGAATGTAGTAAGAGTGAAAAGTTAGTTAAGTTGTATGAATTAGTGGAAAAGCTTTGATAAACGAGATCTACTTAATTTTTAATACTTGAGATCATGAGTTAATTGAAGATAGACAACCATGGGAAACCTGAAATTACTGGACGGCTGTTTCGTTCTATTGTGGAACTCTTCAGTAGTGCGCAGCCACGACCTTGCCTGGCGAGATTCGAACCCAGGACTTAATGGTCTTGTGAGAAGCAGTGACCAGTAGAGTTCAACCAGGTCCGTTGTGAGATAGTAACTCACTGAAGATAATGGTGGACGTATCCATGGTTCCACACCGAAGGGACTCGAACACACGTGCGAATACTTAACTTCTAGACCACTGAACCTGCCGGCATCTGACGGTGTTAGTGTCTGACTTTAATCGATCTATGATCTTGTGTAACCTTTCATCAATTGACTTAGGTAGATACCTGTCTCTATCCGATACGGATTAGACTCTACTGGTCACGGCTCAGTAGTCTACAGTTTAAGTGTTTGCGTGGAAGGCTGGAGGTTCTGAGTTTGGATCCCGTATGCTGGATTGTGGATGCTCACCACTGAGCAGTCCCATACTAGGACAAAACGGCCATCCAGTACTTCCAAATTTTCATAGGTAGTCTAACATTGATTTATTCATGATATCAATTGAAACTCAATAATCTCTAATTATTGAATATCAACTGATTGGTTCATAAACTGTCATATTCATCGTAATATTAATTTATGATGAAAATCAATTACATCGTTACTATTTTGTATAATGTTACCATTACTATGCAAAAAATGAACTAAAATCTTAATAAATAATCAATAATATCATTTAGTTACCATGGGAAACAATTTATTTTTTAAAAAAAAATGTGTCAACAACTAATTATGATTTTTTTGCCTTTCTACGCTATCACTAAGTTAAACACACACACACACACAAACACACATGAACACACACGCACACGAATACATACACATGTAGATTCGTCGAACTTGAATTGATTTTCCCATTGTTTACTGTCTTAAATATATTTCACTAATA